ATTGTACTATAGAAAACACTAGGCAAATTTCCAGTTGGTAGGTCAGGAAGCAGCTGCAATGCAGAATGTGCCAGAAGATTTCCCTTTACAGACTAACTATTTTTCTGTCGTATTCACAACTGATTTAAAATCAACACCACTAAAATTAATAAGATGTAGCCAGTGGTGGTGGATTTGTTGCCAAGTTAGACAGAACCTGAGAAGTTCAAAATTCTAAGTCTAGGTAAAGAAAAAAAGACCAAAAACCAAACACCAAAAAACTCCAACTTTGGAAGGGAAAACAAAAATATTTCTGATATGAAAAATGCCTTGTATAGTTGTCAAACTGAAATGACTACCAGGTTGTGGAGGAAACATTAAATGCTGACTGGAGAGTAATTTCAGTGGAAAGATGTTTTTCTGTCAAGCAGAAATCTGCTATTGTAACAAATTCTCCTTGGTCAGATCTATGAGAAATCTCTATTATCGCTAAGGAGAAACCTGTGTACTCTCTCTCTGTTCTTATATTGAGATCATAATTTTCCTTCCTTCTCTTGTAATTCTACTGCCTGTAGAAATGTTAAAAAAGCACGAAGTTATCTGAGATGACATGAATTTGGCAAATACTACATCTTATACATTGAGTTATGGAACATGTGATGTGAGTGTGGAGTGCCATTGCTTTCTTTGGAACAGCTTTGTGTAGACAAAACTTTCCTGCAGCTATTGGATCTCTGTGCAGGGTATATTTTACTTTGCAATATTAAAGTACTGCTCATCTGTATTCTTTGCTAGTGTCAGACTCACTAAGTGGACTAGGTGATATTTGAAGTGTCACTACGAAGAATACATGCAAGGTTGGATCATGTTGCAGATGGAATGGTCTTATTTCTTCTACTAACCTTTAGCTGTTGTACAACTTTAGGCAAGTCTCTTTGCTCCTCTGTTCTGGTCTTATTCTACATCGGTCTTGGATTGTAAAATAATTTTTAAGAACGTGTTTACAAGGACTATATTCTGATGTTTGTTTTTGTAAAGCATCTATCTGAGTTGGCTACTAAAGATATCACTTCTATATTTATAATATCTTTTCTGTTCATCATCCTCTTATACTAAAGCTCCTGATATGATGATTCAATAGGATCTGGATCAGAATTCTTTCCCGAACAAGTTTGTCTCAACTAAGAATTTAAATTATCCTGGAGGGAAATAAAGCTACTTCCAGTAATACACTCTAAAATAGTTTTGTGACTTCATTTCATGACATGAAGCTACAGAGCACATCCTAAGTTTATTTCCCAAAGTCTAGGATTTATATCTGCTTTACATTCACATCACTTCATAGTACGATGTATTTTGACACACCATAATTTGTTTTTAATAATACATTATTTCAGGAGGTGGAAAAGTGTCAAACCTTTGTAGGATTTATTTATTTATTTTCAATGCAAAATTAGTATCTGCTCTGATATTGCTGCAACTCCAAATTAATCTAGGTGTTCTGTGATTTGATAGCATGAGGGAAGTGTGTTTAGAATTTCCCGATTTTTAAAAAAAACAATTTTCCACAGGAAGATAGTGCTATCCATCACTCCATACTTTGTACTTACAGTTGTTTAGTGCAAATATTCTCAGAGCAGTACATGCCACATGATTGACTGAGTAAGATGAAGAAAGAAAGCTTTAGGCTTTTTTGAGTTCCTACCTACAAACATGCCCAAGAAAACATAAATAGAAAACTGCAAAACAAAGTGTAATAATATTCCCTCTAACCATCATGCATAGTTTTCCCATGTGCTTAATATTTCCTCTAGTGTATGAAAAGAGCACCACACCCTTTTTCTAGCTGGTCCCGTAATTTTTAATGATATACCACAGCAGTAACTTCTGTGTTAAAGATCTCAAAGTATAAATGGCTAGTAGTCCATATCAAGTTTTACTGATTATCGGTATTTCCCTAAAAATTATCATAAGTATTTATATTAAAAATATAAACATGTTTTAATGTTTAGATTTTTTGCTTTCTCTTTCACCTCATTCAGTCCTTTATTCAAACTCTGGATTCTTTCATTAGACCACCAATTTTTATTTTTTTTTTAATTAATGATGATTATTACACTTACCATTTTTTCAAATGCTGATACTAGCAACAACATGAGTCTTTTGAAACATTGTCTTAAACTGTCCTCACTAGAGAAAGAAGAATTGCACTTTCCTTTAAGGAAAAAGAAACAGTAGAGGCCTGAAAACCTATCTAGTTCCTTTATAGTGATAATTTGAAAGAAAAAAGAAGCTTTGTTGGACAATGCGTTTTGTTAATTAGAGCAAATCTGTCATTGTTGTTTTTCTGGTAAACTAAATAACTGGAAAATTCATGCCAGGTAGATCAAACCTGATTGCCTTATTCTTATACAACATATGCATTGAATTCATGATTACTTATCTGCAGTTTTGCAGAGTGCTTTAGTAATACAGGCAAGCATCTTTGTGAGTAAATTTGAACATGAACTAGCACTGTGGGATTTCTGAAAAGTTTCTCTTTGTTTTTGGAATTTAAATTCCTTTGTTTCTCTTCCTTCTTCACTTTTGTTATATTCTCTGATTAACTTCATTAACACTGCAATTACAGAAAAAAATGGGACCTAAATCCCTTTTTCAAAATTTACTCAGGAACTGAACTCTAATACAAAATAGTAGCATTTAACAGCCCAGGTAATTTTAAACTTAATATTCAGGCTACTAAGGAACAAAGAATCCTATTGAAAATTTCACTCTGCTTTCAGCACTTAAAGTTTGCATTGTTTTACTCCTCATTAAAGCTAATAAATTCTGACTTAGTGTTTACCACAGTTCTCCAATTAGTCTGCTTAGTAGCTAAGAACAGGTTTAAGGACAAATATCTTGTGGCCCACTGAAACTTTATGACAAAGATATGCTAAACATATTGCTCCTTAATTCATTGCAAATGGACACCTCTCAGTGTCATATTCACGTTTGTATGGATGACTATCTACTGGGAATAGTTTTATAGAAATGTTGTTAAGTTTTCAGTCTAGACTATGTAGTTATGTGCAGATGTATCAGGGTTTAATTACGCTGATACTTTTGATCTGTGTTCGGCCCAGCCATCTGTAAAAGTTTTATTCTTTCCCTGCCAAGTTATGAGAAAACAAGCACTGATAAAACAGGAACTTTGTCCTTGAAGGGAGTTTTTGTATAAACTATATTTAATTGATGTTCTGTGATTGGTTAATCATTCTCCAAGAACATTTGAAGGAGAGACTGAAGAGGAGATGATGAAGTAACACCCCCAGACTCATTTGGAAAAGACCCCCCTGAGTGCACTACGCAGGCACAGGGAAAGCCACACATGTGCAGAAGAGATGCACGTACATAACCAAGGGGGTGGGACGGAGGGCCTCAGGGTGGGCGGTGCTGGCCACACGGGCCTAGGTTGAGGTCACTCAGTTAATTGTATAAAAAGATAGCGCCTTCTTGGAGGAGAGCTAGCTTCACATCAAGGACAATGTTGCCTTTTGGCGGGGACGCTTGCCAGTTTGTGAACTTACTGACTTTCCAAGGATGCAGCTTCTGCTATTGATAATTATAGGCATACTTGGTCTGTAAGATAATTTTATGGCTAACAGCTGGGTAACTGGGGAGGTCGTGCTGGGGGCTTATTTCTCTTCCCCTTCCTCCCTTTTGAGTTTGTTCATTTTGTTGGCCACCTCTTGGTAATAAATTTCAGTTTTGTTGAGCTTGCAATGGTGTCACAGTTTCAAGATATCAGTATGGTCCGAACCCTCCCTAGTACAGCAGTGTTTGGAAGTTAGTGCAGATTTTTGTTTGGTTGTCTGAAGCATTGAATTCTTTTATTCTAGCAATGTTGCATGAAGTAAAATGATGAATAAAGAAGTGATTTGTGTATCAATAAGAAAATGAAAGATAAGCTATGTATGTGTTAATGCTGTGGACTTTCAAATAAAAGTCTTATTTCTATAACGACAGTTTGAGTCCATACAAACTTTACTCTCTTACTTCATCTCATCAATAGCATTTAGTAATTCTAAATTGTTACATGACTAATTAAGTATAATAGACTAATGCAAAATTATATCCTGATGAAAAACATAGCATCCAATTCTGGTGCTTTGTCAGTGTGTCATGAATTTTACTTTATGATCTGTGGCAGCAAAAGAGAATCTGAGTAAGCCCATGACAACTGAATGAAGAATCTGACAACAGAATTTCCTTTGGTTCATGGCTTAGCTCTCTTGCTAAAAAGATGAGGCAATGTGCAGATTTTACTAGCAGTTCTTGCCACCAGGTTCTACTGGAGCTGACAGAAGCAGAGGTGTTGGTGTTTAGAAGGTGTTGGTGTTTAGAAGGTGCACAAACAGAGAGAGTTAAAACTGGCAGGAGAAACTTTTGTAAATGTGGTAGTGAATATAAACAAGACTCTCCTGGGATGATGGAAAATGGAGAATCCTTTATTAAGGGTTGAACAAGTTTTTATGTTTGAAAAAGGCACAGTAACAAAACATGGGGGGGCCACTGCAGTCCTGTCCAGCCACTTTAAAGCTTTTTCCTGGGAAACTTATAATTGGTCATCTTTCCGTGAGCTTCCGTCAGAACTTCAACTCCCAGCATACACCGCGACCATTATGCAACAAGCATCCTGTTTTAACTTGCTCATAACCCCACACATCCCCCATTTTTATTAATTAAGACAAAACTGAAACCATACAAACCAATACAACTTAGCATTTAAACTTTAAAACACCCTTATTATGAGCACTTATTAAACTGAGAACTTGTCTTTAAAATCTTTATTAAACGTACCTATCCTTATAAAAAACCAAGGATTATAATGTCAAATTTGAGGAAACCAAGATTTATAATATTAGATCTAAGGAAATCAGGGTTTGTAAATTTACCTTAAATTTGAGGGTTATGTATATAACTAAAATTGAGCACGTTAAGCCTTTAAGAAAATAAGTTAAAAAATTCACATTCTTACTAACTCAAACATACAGACACACATCCACACACATCTGGCAGCTGCCCATTCAAACCATCACACACACAATCTCAAAAACCACATCCTTGTGCATTTTAACAATAAAAAAAAGATTTAACAGCAATGCTTAGTGTCCTATCTCTTTGGTCTTTAGTATGTCAATTGGCGGGTCTAATAAATATCTCATCTGGCTTGACAAAGAGGTGATCTCTGGTGTATCAATTGATACGTCTGTGTGGCCTGATGATAAGGCGATGTAGCACCTCACACACCGAGAGGGAACCCACCGCAGCCAGGTACCTGTGGACACACAGGCATACCCCCTTGCTGCAGTGGTTGTGTCCATCAGGCAGTAGTGACAATAGAGAACAACTCTTGCAGCAGGAACAATTTCTCCTGGATTTGTGGAGGAAAAGGCTACCCAAGACCTCCTGCATTTGGCTGATAAAGTCCTCCATCTTCACCTGAACATCCAGGCTGGCGGTGATGTCACTCTCCTGGAGCGTGGGCTTGGCTTTCTGAACCATCAAGTCCATCTGGTCACTGAGGGACCTCGACAGGTGCTCCTGTATTACACTTTGGTAACTCATCATCAGCAAACTCAAGTACTGCAGCATCTCATCCCACCCTTGCCATGTTGCTATTTTGTCCTCAAAATGCAGCAGCACAGAACAGTGACTCAGGAAATACAGAGTCTTCTTCAGAGACGTGGATAAGGTTGAGGGCACATCACAACTGTGCTGGAACAACAGCTCTAGCAGTCTGCAGCGCAGGAGCTGGCTCTCTATGGTGTTTAATAAAGCTTCCCTTTGACTCCTCAGGGGGATATTCAGTATAAATATCTCATCTGCAATCTTACGGGAGCTCCAGGTGGGAGATCTGTCCACTTCTACTGTGATAGACAACATCCACTGGAGCAGGAGCACAATCTTTTGGGCAAAGAAAGCTGCCGGAGCCTGTATGCTGGCCAGACTTGGTGTAGATGAGCTGTGCTCAGCCCTGGCTTCTGCTGAGGAGGAGGGAGTTTCTTGTGGCTGCTCCTGGGACTGGTAGAACCTGACTCCCATACTAGCTAAGACCAACAATTTGACCACTTCCTTGACATTGTTGAAGCACATGTCACATGAAAGCACTTTCTTGGCAATTGACTTCTGCAGCAGGTGCAACCTCAGATTCCTCTGCAAGTCATCCTCCAGGGTCTGTACCATGTACTGCAGGAAGAGGAGCCGGTTGGGGGGCTTCTCCTGGTCTTCCATGATGAATTTTTTCAGCGTCCAGTCCCATCCCACTGTGGCAGCGCTGGTTGGATGGAGCATTTGGATCTTCAGCAGCAGCATGTGTCCTTCAAGATCTCCTCTTCATAGGCATTCAACAGGACCTGTCTGATCAGGTGGGAGATGATATCTTTGGGGGGACAGTGCTGACAGGAGACAAACTCATTCAGGAGATGCAATGTGCCCTCCAGGAAGTTCTCCTCCACGGTGGTGTGCACCATGCTCAGCTTCCCTTTGGGGATGAGCCCAGGTTTCTGCTGTGTTTCCCGGTTGGGTACTATGCCTTGGAAGAAGAGGTGCTGGGCTCCACTCCTCCTGAAACTGTGCAGTTGGTCCAGCCGGGCCTTGCTGTCAGCATCGCTCCTGGTTGGGGTCAGTTGCTGGGTTGATTCGTGTGGTAGTAAGTCACTTGTTACCAGCAAAGACCCTTGAGCCTTTCATGGAGTTGTGGGAAGGGTTGAAGCAGGGCTCAGCCTTGCGGGGAAGTCCCTTTCTTGGCAAAGATGGGGAGAATCTTCCTCTGGGCCATCAGCTTTCCAGCTGCTATTGCTGTCCAGGCTGGGGGCGCTGAGTCCTGCTGCATGCTGGGCAGGGAACCCAGGTCACTGTTAAAGCTGGTAGCACTGCACTCCTGCTGCAAGCTGCAGGAGCTGTGGCAGCTGGAGACAGGAGAGAGGCAGCTCTTGTTCCCTGTACTTTCTGCTGTGTCTGTGGTGGCACAGGGCTTCACGGGAGTGCTGTGCCAGGGTGGTACAGGGCTTGGCTCTGCCACTTACTCCATTTCTTCCTATATGGTGGAGCAGAGCCAGAGATGGGACATGTGTGCTGCTGGGGCAGCAGATGCAGTCCTGGGACACTAGTAAGTTTTCTAAGCACTCGCACTACAAGCTTCGCAATAAGCTCATAAGTCTCCCGAGTAATTTACTTGGGTCCTCGAGATTGCATAAGCTTCCTCCCCTGCTAACTGTGCATAAGTCACTCCTGCTTGTGAGTTTTCAACAACGTAAGCCTTGCAATTTTCTTTAAAATCTGTAAGCCACACTAAACTGAGTTGTCAATAAAACCATCTTAAAAAGCGCACACCAATCATGGGGTGTAAAAGTATAAGAAATACTCAAATTCTCCATGAACGTAAGAACATGGGGAGATGAAATTCCACTTTCCTTACCTATTTGCTGAATATCTTTAATTACTTCATACAGCAAAATCTGATGTTGAGGGGACTGCCAGGGGTGATAGATTACTAGGCAGGTGTTAACCACCTTCCAATTGCCTGCACTCAACGCCTCCTCCCGGCATTTCGCCCACCCAATTGTCCCCATATCACTATGTGACCACTGCTACTCTGCAGGGGGAGAAACATCCAAATCCTTCTATTATCCTCGGTGTAATCCTCACCTACCAATTCCTCATAATCCTCATAACTCTCAGACTGGGGCATAGAACAGGACAGCGGCAGCGGAAGCCAAGCTTCCGCGGCTGTTACGCGATGAGATGGACATTTGGGCTCCCTGTCCCTCCCATGACGACACGCACAAGATGGCGGTGGCCTGTCTCCCGTCCTGGGACAAACGCATAATAGTGGCTTGTCCACAGACACATAACAGGCATGGGACGGCAGCTCACCTGCGGGTACATGCTGAACACTAGACAGCGGCAGCCCTTCTGCCACCCCTCGGCAAAGGACACTGACACACAGCCTCCCTCTCACTCCCCTTCCTCCCCCACCCTGGCAGCCCCCCGCCCTGGGACGTTCACCCTTCGACACTGGGGGAGCCTCAGGACAAGCAGAGGGAGCGGAATTCATGATCACCAAGGTACCAATCTCACTTGTATTGCTTTCAGAGCAGTGATGATCTCTTTGCAAACAGATAGGTGGTTAAAGGCTTCCAAGTCCCCAAGTCCCACTTAATCAAGAAGCTTTAATCCGATTTTCTGCCATTCGTTTACTTGCGTAGTCCCACCTCCTGGGAAACTTGGCACATACTTATAAATCCAGCTGAAATTGCCATAATTCTTGCTTTTGAAACATCTCTTTGTTGTCTGTTTAACAGATAACGTAAGTTCTCGGCTGTTTGCTCTTGTTCATGGGATATATTCTCCCCCATCTCTGGCCTGACACTTTATTTCCTATTACTTATCTCTTCAGCCAAATCTACTTGTCTTCTTCTGTTATACTTTGTAGTTTTATATCGTCTTGGACTCGAGGTGCTGTAGTCCATGGTTCCTTATGCTTTCAGAGCTCCCTTTGTCCTTTTCATGGGCCAGAGGCTACCACAGGTCAGATATCCCAAGAGATTCTAAACACTTGGTTTCTGATATCCCTTTTGAATTGTCCCTATTTAGGTATCATCTGTGGCAGTGAATATAAATGAGACCCTTCTGGGATGATGGAAAATGGAAAATCCTTTATTAAGGGCTGAACAAATTTTTATATTCAAAAAAAGCACAGTACGAAAACATGGGGGGGCATCACAGTCCTGTCCAATCACTTTAAAGCTTCTTCCTGGGACACTTCTAGTTGGTCATCTTTTTGCAGGCTTCCATCAGAACTTCAACTCCCAGCGTACACCACGACCACTACGCAACAAGCATCCTGTATTAACTCGCTCATAACCCCACATGTAAACATTTCAAATGGTGTAAAGCACCAAAACACTTGCAAATGCTATTTCACAGTGAATGGATTTTTCCAGGTTCAAAGGAAAACAGGAATTAGTTCTAAGAAATTAAATCTAACCAGAACCTCTACTGGGGTGTAACCCTCTGCTCCATTCACTAAGGCAATGCATGTGGTTAAAAAAAGTAACATTAGGTCATTCCGCTTGTCACCGGCCACACCTCCTAAGGGGCATCTTGCAAGTACTGGACCCAATTAAACCCGATAAGAACTACAGGAAATATGCTACATGTAGTAAAACCAAACATAAGACCACTGAAAATCAAAAAATGCATGGAAGTTGAAGGTTCAGGCATGCTTGAGAAGTAACCCTTTATAAAATATCCTAAATGCTTAACAGCCATATACTTTATTTCTTTTGTCCAACTCTTAGCATAGAATTTTCTATATGATATTTTAAAAAGTATTTTTAGAAATACGCATCAAACTGGTACTTTTTTGGATAGATTGTTCTCAGTTACCTTATTGGAGAAACTGACATTTCAGGCTCTGGTAGTGCTTAGTGATTAGATAATTTTCTGCAATGCAGACTAAATGAGTAAGGAAGTACTTTTCTACCCTCCCTCAGGTGTCATTAACAATATAGTAAAACAAATTTTACACAAAGTTTCCTTTGTCTGATCCTTTTCATATAGAAGTTTTTTGAAGAACTGTCTTTAATGGTGGCAGCTATCTTGACTTCTATATGATTTCTTTGGATAAACACAGGCTTCAGTGTACACTATTGTTGACTCTACTTTCAGTGAATTCTATGTATCTTTAAAATAGAAAACAAAGAAAAGTCATTCACTGGGAATAAATTTATCTATTAACTCTTCCAAAGAAATACATTCACATGGATGTATACTTAGTATAGAAAGCTGTCATTGTACAAACCCAAAGTTGACTTACTACCTAAGAAAATTGTTTGTTTTCATTAGGAAACAGTAGAGAAGGTGAATATGAAGATCTTTTCCAAACACAAGCCCCCTTGTGGGTGTGAAGTGTGAATTTCAACAGATTAAAGGAGTTGTCTGATGAGTTTCAAACAAGTTTAGAGACCTGTACCTAGATTTTATTGTTGGATCTAAAATGTGCTCCCATAGAACTAGTAACTTGATTAAACCTATGTTTTCACACAGCAAAACAGCTATTCCACCACATTATTGTGAGAGCACGTCTGCACTACAGATTTTGACAGAAGGTTTGCAAGCAATGTGCAAAGTTCTAGTCACAAATCTATTCACCAGTTTACAAATCCCACTCTCTGCTTTATGCTTCACATATAACAATAAGACATGTTGAAATCTCTAAATGCAGAGGCTTACTGGGGAGGAACAAAACTCATGGGTTTGACACATGCAACAGTACAGTTAAATCTTATGTACTCTTCCTCTATAAGCAGACAAAAATGGCATCATAAAGATCGAAATACCATGTATGTTTTCGATCAAAATTCTATTTTCACAAGATGCTACAAGAAGACATTTTAATACACAGCTACAGTTAGAAATGGTAATTCAAATCAAATTTCCTAAAATTTTGAAAGTTTCCTCAATACAAGTATTAATCAAGTCCACTTAGGGAATTATCTCATATTCTGATGAATAAAGAAGATTTATAAATAAATAGGACTTTGTCACATGTAATGTCCTTCCATTAAATATGATCATTTAGTTTGAACGGGGAGGAAAAAAACTAAACATAGAAAAAAACAACACAACAAACTGAAGTAGTACGATTTAAATTATTTTCTTTATGCCACAACTTTCTAAATTAATTTTATCATGTACATAAGGAAAATAGAAAGAATGTTAAGAGAAGGACGAGTGGAAGGAGGCAGGTATTTATATCAAATTTTGAGAGTGTAGTTTGTCAGTACTTTTGGTTGGCAATGGATTTTGTAAAACAGTTGGGGATTCAGGGAGTCTGATGGAGAACGTTTCAAGTGTGAGGAACAAAAGGATACATGCAAGAAACTAAGAGCTGGAGAAATAAGAGGAAAAAGGAAAAAAATCAAGAAACCACTGAATATTTTCTATAAAGTCACATGGAGTAGATTGCAATGAGCAAATTTTACTTTAGCGGACTTCTCTGTCTAATACTTCTGAAGGCATACATGATCCTGGGTAAAGTTTCACCAAAAAAATTAATTCTGAAATAAGTAAAAAATCCTGTGAATTATTGTGCTATTTTTCAGGTGGAGTCACTTAGGATACGCAGTGGTATTTTGGAAACTCTGTGTTGGGAGGGTAAAAGGGAGACAGAGCAGGGAAATGCAAGGAGCTTACAAGCATGGACAATTATGCATACTATCCTCTCTGTACATTTGTGAGGAACCCAGCCAATAAGTTGAAAGGATGCTCTAGTCAGAAATATGGGGACCCAACGCAAAGAAACAACTAGCAGAGTAACTTTCACCTAGTAGCTAACCAGTCAAAGTCATCTGGAGGGAGGGAAAGAAGAAGGAAAGGAAGTCTTAACTTAAAATGCATTGGGAAAAGAAGATGATACTGGTGTTTGAAATTTTTTATTTTTCTAACAACATTGCACTATTGTTACATAGTATCAATATTAATGTCAATATTTCCTCTCATCACATATATTTTAGCAGTTTGCCAGGATTTTTGTTCATAAATTGGCCTATAACTTGGTCATATGCGTGCAGCATTAAGTCAATGGAGGAATGTTTTCTTTTGCACATGTTGCATTAACCAGAGGGATTTTTAGATATTTTCTTGTCTTTAAAATTCATTTAGTGGTGAAAGAGACTTCTTTTTGCTTTGTGGTTCAGTATATGGTCTCATTTAGTCCTTAATTCAGGCAGAGGCATCTTTCTAATCATTTTATTAGCTGGATCTTAACACTTGGTCTGGCCCAAATTGAGCCCTACAGCCTCTGTTCTATAGCAGGAATACCACTAGCCCACTTGTTTAATTGTAAACTTTGAAGCCATCGAGATGCTGTTTCCAGATACATTACATACTCAAGTCGTCACACCTGCACTCATTCATGCAAGATTTTTTAAATCACAGAGACACTCACTTTCATGCTTTACCCAATAAGGACCTTGGAAAATGCTTGGTGTTTCTGCAGTGCACAGGACTGAGCTCCATTGCCAAACAGTAATGATTTTCTGCTTCTTGATGTTTTTTCATGTGCATTCCTGGACTTAGATTCATCTCATAAAGCAAGTATTCAAAAGAAGGAAACTGTATTTATAGTTATGCTTGGTATTTCCTATTATAAAAAGTCCTGTATTTCTGAATTCGCTGTTAATCTTTGGCATTTTAGTGTCTGATATGTAAAAAATAATTGTAGGCATAAATAACATGTGTATCAGGATAAGTCAATGCAGTGGTCAGGTGTCTCAGTTTAATGAGACGGAATTGTTTTGCTAAGGAGGATGAGTTATGAGGAAGACCAAACTCCTCCCTCTAAGTAACCGTAAATCCGAAATTATTTAAGAGGCTCCAGTTGAGGAAGTATGGAGAAAGGAAAAAAACCCCAGCTCTTTATTGAAGGATATATGTGTATTGGTAGAACAACAAAAGAACACAAAACCAACCAAACAATAATCCTGTTCCCCAAAACCCCCTTCAAAAAGGAAACAGTTCAGTACTTTCCGTCTTTTGGCACAATTCTAACCACAATCATCAGGGCGCTGTTGGATCACTGGTGGAGCAGAGCCTGCAGTTGCTTGGTGTTGGCTGGTGAGCTGTTGTTGGGCTCTGGTGGTCACCGCGTGAGGTCCTGGTGCACGGGAGACGGCGAAAATGGAG